AGCGAAGGTGAAGTAGGTGGGGATCGATAAGGGGCGCTAGCTCGCAAAATAAGGTGTTTTAAGGTGATTTTAAACTACTTTTTTTCAATCTATTGGGGGCGGTGTGTGGAGAGTATTTTTTTTAGAAACGTGCGCCCACGCGCGCACCGCTTACGCCACTGCTGTGACGTGTAAATTTCAATGACACCCAGCTTTGAATAATGTGCCTCTGGTCTGATGGCTTACAGCTTTTTATTTTAACTTTCCAGTTCAATTCTTTTTTTTACATTATTTTTGAAATTCTTTTTTGTTTTTTTCCCTTGCATGTTTAAATGCGATTCAATTTTTCTATATATAATATTATTTGGAGGAGACCTACACCTGCTGTTTCTTTCCGTTCACTTGCTTTTAAAAAAATATCTTACTTGATTTTAATTATTTACTCGATTTCAATATTTATTTCTATCGTATATTTTATATTTGCATGTGTTAAATAAATATTATTATAACAGTTTTACGTTATAATAACTTTGGAGTTTTGCTAAAAAAAACGTTAATTTGTAGAACCGTAAATACGTACTTATAGCGTATTTTAAAAGTTGCAGCACGGTTGTATTAACGTTTTTTCCGACATGACCGACCTAACCAAAACGTTCACAACGTTCGCGAGCTATAAAGTTTGATGTCTGCTGGACGATTACGTCATATGCAATGTTTTGAAAGTACGTTTTTAATTTAACATTGTTTAATATTTAAAAAAACCCAATTCATTTCATCGCGATCATTAGTTGATGAGGTGTACGGGTTCGAATCTCTAATATAATATAATGCTATAGCTTTTTCTCATATACTCTCCGTCATCGTAATCCTACTTTTCGTCGTAATTCATTAACAGCATCATTTTATTGTCACTTTTGCCAGGATTTTCCCGACGAGGGGGTGGGGGCGTGGGTGGGGCGGGTGATGGGTCCGATATCCGTCTCCCGAATGTAGTCCGGGGGACGAAGCTATGGAAACTACAATTTGGGGTTTCAAATGCTCATTCCACCGATTCTAGAGTCCACTAATATGTAAAGAATACATGTAATGTACCGTATGGTCTCTCAGACGGGGTGGGTTGTGGGGAAGGGGGTCACAAAACCTCATCATGCCCTGCCCTTCGTTCGAGTTGCCATTATCGTGCATCTCCTACACTACGGTAATTGGACTATGATCTGTATTCTTCTCCCAGCCCTGAGCTATAGTGACTACCTTCTCTCAATCCCCATATCTCCTGAAACGTGGTTTCAGAAATTTGCCGGCAGGGGGTGTCCGACATGTCCGACAGTGTGGTCCGCAAACCGAGGGGCCGACTAGAGCCTCGGCCAGGGTCCCAAAACAAAAATCTAAATTGTATGGCTCAGTATGGCCCATTTTACTTTAAGGCCACGATATTAGAGATAGGCTAATTATTATTCTTGGTCCGACAATTTCGTCACGGCTTCGGACGACGTGGAAATTGTTCTGACCTCACCCCTCCCCCGCTGGCGTGTTGATGATGACCACCGAGGGCCAACAAAACGCTGTATGTGAAGAGTGTTAAGGAAATCAGGGGCGGATCCAGAAATGTCCAAAAGGGGGGCCGGAAGGGGAGCCGAAAGTTGGGCCGATTGAGACAACACTGTCGTAGGGCGCCGGGGGCATGCCCCTCGAAATTTTTGTGTTCTAGACGCCCGAACATAACATTTGAGGCATTCTGGGCTATCATTTTTTTTTCTCTCCTTTTTTCTTTTTTTCCCCTTCTTTTTTCCTTTTTTTTTACCTCCCAAAAGAGGGCGGGGCCGGGCCGCCCCCCCCCCCCCCCTAAATCCGCCCCTGGAAATACTTTTAATTTTGTAAAATAGTATGATGATTATAGCTGGATTATGAATTTGGGATCATAAAGATCTCCCATTACGAAGATCCTCTGGCATTCATTAGTAGGCTAAACTCCAACATGATCCAACTTACATTGCCTTCTTCTTGCGTATGATATGAATTGATATATAGTTGCTGTTATTAATTTGACTGGAACAGACGTAGCAGGGTCACCAGCGAGCAGGTTAACAACATGACCCTCCCATTTATACTCCTGGATAAAGGGAGGCAAACGTAAGTAAAGTGTCCTCCCCAAGGACTCAAGCAGTGTGGCGAGCGTCAGTCTCGAACTCCCGCTCTCATGACCAACACCTTAAACGCTGCTCCACACACTCCTACTTTACATTGTCTAAAATATCTTTACTCTCTGCTTCAGAGGTTGCACATGGTGTGAAACGTATGCTGGGGGAGTACCGTGGTGCTTCGATAACACTAAGCCTGGTTTTGACGGCAAGTGTTCTTCCCTCGTTGCGCCAAAAGATCGTGTGGATTGCTGGCCTAAGGACCAGCCCGATAACGCCAAGTGCGTCGATGCGGGCTGCACATGGTGTCCCTTGCAAGGGTACACGTCTTGTTTCTACGACGATAAATCTGGAGTCGCGACACAACCCCCAAATCCGATCGTCACAAATAAGCCAGTTACGTCTGGTCCAGTAACACCTGGTCCCACAAGTGCACCAAATCCAACATATGAGCCTAGTTGTGCATCGAAGTTGGCACCTGCGGACCGAGTTGACTGCTTTCCTGAAGGTGGAGCATCAAGAAAGTCTTGTGAATCGAAGGGTTGTATTTGGTGCGAAAACCACACCCCTGGCTTAAATGTTCCATGGTGTAGCTACCCAGATAATACTTTGCCACCCGACGGAGGAGGTGGCGGAGGCGGTGACGGTGGTGACGGAAGCTGTCCAAGCAATATACCTGAGCAGAACAGACGTGACTGCTACCCAGGTAAAATATTTTTGAAATTAATTATTTAGTGAGTGAAAAAAATATGTTAAAATATATTAAATTGTTTGTTGTCCTGTATTCTGATAGATAATATAAGGGAGGTTTGATACGGTCTATTATAGATACAACAAGGTTGGTCGCAATGGTAAATAATAAACCGATATTAGTCAAATGCAACATGGACATGAAAATAGTATTACGGTGGACTGCCTAAATGGAAAGAGAAGTGTACCATTGAAGCAGGTTAGCGTTATAGGCTTAGCTAGTTCATCCAAGATTGGCGGTACCGAAACGACAGTGATCTAATGTCTGACAAAAGGTCTAAGGTCCCAACAAAGATCCACACCTACCCCAGCCTACCAGGACCAAGTGTGGAGCAAATTTAAGGCACCTAGATGCTCTGAAAGTAGTGTTCTCTCTGACAAAATGTTCATCCAGCGGAAGTTCAGTGTTCTTCGACAGAGGATCGAATACTGCCCTTTGGCAATACATGATTTTTTTTTACAGCATTTATATTATACTGTTCCTCATTGTTTTTTTTTTACGACAGGAGGCGGAGCTACTAGCGGCGGATGTGTTTCCCGGGGATGTATATGGTGTGAATCAAGCGCGGACGGCGTGCCATGGTGTTTCTTCAACTTCACAGGAGAAGGATCAGACCCAGCAAAGGACGTGTACCGCATTGATTGTATGCCAGAGGGTGGGTTTGATACGGATGAATGTCGAAACAGAGGATGTGAGTTCATGGGCACTGATGTCCCGAACGCGCCAATCTGCTACTTTCCAGAGAACAGAGGTTATGACATGATTGGTAAGTTGTCAAACTGTACACAGATCAAAATACAGTGATTATTCTCACTCCAGCTAGGAATCCTCACTCATCGTCTGTTAAAAATGTAAATATTGGAATTATAAACTGGGTAGGCTTATGGTAGTAGGATAATGTCTCAGTCTCCGCTAAGTGGGATATGCATACAGACGATAGTGCAACTTTTTTTTTTTACTTATTAAAATAATTCATTAAATGATTAGATTATTTGGAAGCGCTATTATAATAATGACTACACTATCAAATTTTCTTTGACAAAAAACTGTTGTATGCACATATGTATTTATGATGTGCCTATATATGGTCATGACATGATGTCATCAAGGCCATATTTAGACATGTCACATGTTTTGCCAAATTAAATTGTATAGTCTGGACGGGGCTTAATGATTTATGTAATGCCTGGTTTCCATATTAGGGAGCTTTCAATTTGTGCGACGACGCGACGCTAGAACGGAATCACTCATGCGTGACCGTCCTAAATGGCGTCTTACGTTCTCTGCATACGTACGGTAGATTTGGCCAAATTGCGTTCCAAAATCTATTCGACGAGATGACCTTAACGTTCTCGCATGCGCAGATGACTTTTAGTGACGTCATTAAGTTCTACGTCCTACCGTCGTTGTGCAATCCAAAACTCCCTAACATCACTACAATCGTCGACAGCCTGGGGCGACTCTCGGTAGCACCGACTACCGGACCAACTATTATCATGTGATTAAAATTAATTTTGTAATGATATTGTTATATGACTTAGGCCTATATATAACTGTTTTCATTATTGTTTAGGCGGTCCAATCGTAACAACCATGGGCTATAACATCAACCTTAAAAAACGCGGCTCGGAAACACTCTACGGTGGGGACTCCCAGGATCTGGTTCTACAGGTTGAATTCCAAACGGACGGACGCCTTCACATGAAGGTAAATATTAATATTATATATGTATTAGTAATGGTAATGGAGATTAATTACTAATAAAATAATAATGACAGTTTATGTGTTTAGTCTGCTTTTGTATATTCTTTATAAATTTAAGTTTACTTTCGTCTACAGTTCACGGATGCGAATGTAGCCCGCTTCGAGGTGCCCCTAACCATCGATGCCCCATCCGTACCAGCTGCTAATCCTCTTTACGACGTGCACTTCAGTAATAATCCCGTCTTTAATTTCAACATTACGAGGAAATCGACAGGGGAAGTTATGTAAGATATGATATTCTCAAGAGTTGGTTCATGCGCATGCGCGCTCACATTCCTATCGTAGTTTTCGAAAAATTACGCAACCAATCTCAGGAAGCAAACCGACGCTTTGATTCGCGCGAGTAAGTTCGCCTAGTGGAAAACCGGCTTTACGACGGTCGTGCGACAGTCGGTAGAGAAGGATCGTTCTCCTCTCTCTGTGAGCGCATGACGACGCGACACCGTCTGCTGATTGTCGGTTGCAAATTGAATCGGATCGTCATTAAATTCGATCCGTTGCACGCCTCGAAGCGTTGGGTTAGCTAGCGCAGCGTGAGTCTGCCCTGCTAAGATTTTGGATTCGTCAGCTGACGGTCGCCGGACCGTCGACTGACGCAATGTGTGCCCGGCTTCGCGCTACATCAACCAATGAACACAACAGAGCTTTTTGACATACATGCAGAAGATACATTTTGCCTCGAAGCGATAGATAAGAGGCCTACATTAATTCCCTTGGTGCCGTGGACCTCATCTACTATGTGGAACAAAAATATTTTGTTCTAATAATCTTTGTTATGTTACAGCTTCGACACGTCCATCGGCGGTTTCGTGTTTTCTGACCAATTCCTTCAAATCGCCACAATGCTGCCACAAAATTCCAAAATCTACGGATTCGGTGAGCATGAACATCATAGCTTCAAACATGACTTGAACTGGCAGTCGATGGGTATGTACGCTCGTGACCAGCCACCGACGGTAAGTCAAAGTACTTCCTTTGAAACAGTGGCGTAACTAGAAGTCTTTAAATGGGGTGGGGATGGGGGAAGGTGAAGTGAGGAGAGGGTGTGCTCGACGATTAAGTGGGGAGCTAGCTCGAAAAATAAGTTGATTTTTATCTACTTGACCGTATTTGTTTACTTCGAACATTTTTAATAGTGGGGAGACAAGGGTTGGGAGGGGGAGCAACACAATGCCTAAAATTGCTCCCTGGAAATAAAAAATAAATAAATCATTAATGATAATTAGATTGTTAATTTATGAGTACATAATCTGTCATCTTTAAGATCTTGAACCTTAAAATTAGTGAATAATAAAAAAAAAAAAAAAAGGTTTTCCCTGATTTTTATATTGGATAATTATAAAAATGTTAGAAACACTTCACGTAACTGAAGCCGCCAGCCTGAGGCAGCATATTCCAGTTGGTAGAGCATATACAAAAAGTAACCATCGGGCCTTAGGATAAATTCAACTGGGACAATCCATTTTTCTCAAAAACAATGTTATTTCCCTTCAACCTGCCTCGCGTGACTTTCATTCATTAGGCCTATGCTAATATTATTGTACAATGAAAGGTCAACTGATTATTTGGGACCAAGTTTGAAACTGATCAGTTTTATTGGTTAATAATACAATGTTTCATTAATACAAGGGTACCGGTATATATGATAAATACACATTATTAAACCGACACACGAATCACAAACGGCTATAGCCTTACACATTTGACCAACTCCAATTTACAGCATTCAACTATTAAATGATAAGCCTACCGTAAGAGGAGATAACCGGTCCGAAACTCCACTGATACGCAAAGTAATATAATCAATAGATAATCGAATCGTTTATTTGATCAACATCAGCTTATTGGTTTATTTGTTTAAAAATATATGAAGTAATATCCGTATAGAAATGTGTGTATGTTATATGTAGGCCTTTAATGATAATATTGTATGGCGGTTCTAAACCGAATGTTACGTTCCCAGGAAGAGTCAATTGTATTATCTCTTTCTATTCTCTTATCGTGCACTGAGTGATTGTTACTATTAATTAGAAGATGTGTTTTTCAATAACTTTCATAACTGTTTGAATTTGTAAGCATACCGTAATTTATCTATGCTCAGTTAGGCTTTCATATTAGCACAAACCGTGTATACCGTACCTTATTAATTAGTATTCAAAAAACCGATAAGCATATGTTGCTCGTTAACTAACAATCAACTAATTAACCAATTATGTTTCCATATTATTTATTAAGACTGAAATCGGCTGGCAGACAAAAATATCAGGGGTGGCGCCAGTGGGTGGTGGGGCAGGTCCACCCGTCAGGAAGAGCAGCCTCCGTCGGAGAGAAAAACACACTTCTTTGAGGAGAAGAACAACATTTAAATATTCAGGGGCGGATCTAGAACTTCTCAAACGGGGGTGGAGCACTTGTATTCATTTTTACATAATACATAATATTGATATGCACTGAAATAAAAAAAAAAAATTACGGTTAAAACGTTCTCCCCATTGGATCCGTGCCAGATACATATTAGATAGTAGACTCACCGTGCACTCACTGCTTCGTGCGACGGGTTTTTTTTTTCTTGGTGCCATCCCATCCCTGCAAAATATATCAACGAAAGCAGCATTGTCGTAAAGTATATTGATTTTTTTAATGAACAATACATTTGTTAATTATATGAGTTTCTAGATTTTAACACAGAAAATATAGGTCAAATATTTAATACTTTGTTTTTATTTTCTAGGCTACTGGTAATTTGTACGGTGTGCATCCATTTTATATGGCAGTCGAGGAAGACTTCAACACACACGGTGTTTTATTCCTCAACAGTGCAGCTCAAGGTATTATTATGGCTGAAGCCAATTATATTTCGATTAATTTCGATGAACTAAAGACCAGTTTATTTTTGGTAAACAAGCAGGCGGAGCGAAGTGGTGAAGATCCCCCAGCACCACCACCTGTAAAATTCATCACAGGGTCCATTTATTCACGACTGTCATAAGTAGACCCCGTGTTGTCCTAATTGGTGAACTTGAATCTATTTGGTATTATTCATGTAATGTTTATATATACTTTATTTTTCGCGCCTTTTTCAGACGTGACGCTTTCTCCTGCTCCGTATCTTTTGTACAGGACTATTGGTGGAATATTGGATATGTATTTCTTCCTCGGTCCTACACCTGAAAACGTAGTAGAACAATACACTGAGGTAGGCGTAATTTTAGGCCCATTACATTTGAAAAGAAAGTACAAAAGTATACCAGTAGGCAAAAACCCACACCGTTTTATATTATTCATATACGAATTACGCCTATATACTTTCTATTTGTTTGAAAAAAAAAAAATTCACATGTTAAAAATAACTGTTCAATGTATTGTTTTGAAATTGGTATAAGTCTATGCTTATTGGTCATACCGGCTTTTATCAATGTAAAATAACACACTTTTGGTTATTTTCTAACTGTTTTTTTTCACCCCAAAGGCTATAGGTCGCCCATATATGCCGCCATATTGGTCACTTGGATTCCAGCTTTGTCGGTATGGTTACAACAGCCTAGCAACTGTCCAAGACACCGTATCACGGATGCGAGCGTACAACATTCCACAAGTAAGATGTTTTTACTGTTACTTTAAATTACTGTACTTGGACACAAAAAGCTTGCCGCGTATTTACCGTATGCGTTACTTCTAACGCGCTTATGTCGATATGGATTTCCAATTGCGTCAACAAGTCATACTTAACTTGCTATATTGAGTTGGACTGCGTCGTACGACCGTCGGCCGACAAGTCCGTCTCTGCTCTCTGTGATGTGAGCTCTTGATGACGTGACGTGCATTAAAAACCAGTTGCGCGTGCCTCATTGGATTCGTTACGGAATCGCGTGTGCAGACGACCGCCGGGTAAAGTGTGTGCTGGGTTTAAGACAATGCTTAAAATTTCAAAGCCTGGCACTCAATACGCCGCGCCGCAGTTCCATGAGACCACTACGCGTAACGCAGCCGACGAGCGAAATGTTGGGCAAATGTCCACACAGATCGCAGACGAATTCTTCGGCCAACGATAGACACCGATTATTGTACTATTATATTTTTTCCTTAATCTTATCTGTTGCCAGGACGTGCAATATGGCGATATTGACTACATGATAGAGCAGAGAGACTTCACGTACGATCCTGTCACTTATGATGGCCTGCCAAAATACGTCACCGACTTACAACAAATGGGAATGCACTATATTATCATCTTGGTAGCGTATCCATTTTTAAAAAAATTTAGATATTATGCTTGCTAAAGGATTATCGATCTATCGCTGTTGCCGGTTGATACATAATTGTCACTTTTTCCTGTCCACCGTCCCCTATGTTCATAGTCTCGATTTTATTGGGTCGAATCCTCGACCCCGAGGCTAAGAAGTGAAACCAATGCCAGTGCAATAAAGAAAATGTTTACTTACTCATTGTTCTAGCTGTTGGTAGACCATCGTATTCGCTGCACTTGGTGATTTTCTTGTCACTAGAAACAACGTGAGAAATCACGTGCCTCATATTCATAATAATTATGCAACCCCCCCCCCCCCCCTCCCGAGGGGACTACATAGTATTAAATACAATAGGCCTACAACAATACAATCTAGTTTATGATATACGGGAGGAGAGCTATGCCCAGGCTAGGAGTATGGCCTGTGCTAAGCCCCATTTATTTGTCCTGTTTACTGTATTTTCACTTTGCTTGCTTATATTTTATTACAGTATAAACCACGAAAGTATAAACAACCAGCATCACAACCGCACAATGGATCCACACGAAAAAGTTTCAGCGACAAAAGTTCTGCGAAGCGAAATTGCGCATGCGCAGGATAATGCCTTTAGCCCAACTTTTAGCCACTCTAATCACGCATGATTATAATAGGGCAAACTGGCGACGCACCGTTGGCTCATGGCTTGAACAAGCCGTATCGGCCCAGAGAGAGAGAGAGAGGAGGGAGGGAGGGAGGGAGGGAGGGAGAGAGAGAGGGAGAGAGAGAGAGAAATACTGTCTTGCATATAAAATCAATAAAATCTAACGCTTTCTATTACATCTAAGTCTACCTCTTTGTTTTTTATTATCATTTTTCATATTTATTTTTCTGTGTATTCATAGATTTACTGTAAGGTTACGGCTATATTCATCAACGAGGATGGGACAGCTAAAAGCAGGGCCTCGTCGGCTATTAGTAGCAGAAGCATTCTACTTAGTCATGAGGTAAAAACTGATCTCACCTTATTTTTCTTTTTATACATTTTGTCTTAAAATCATTTGTAATCATTAAAAATTCAAATTCATAAAAAAAGAAAGAAATGAGGTATTTATTAGCTTTTTCCAACGCTCAGAAGAGAAACAAATGGCAATGGACTAAACTAAGTGACCATTGGTTTTCTACAATTTTATTATTTCTCTTTATGTATATATATATATATATATATATATATATATTATATTTAATTTATAGTTACTTTGTCTCCATTTAATCGTATGACTATATTCTTTATTATTTATAAATTATCTATCATATTGACCTATTTATTAATATTCATGTACCTATACAATGTTTACGTGATTTATTTATTGGTGAGTGAAAGTTAATCAGTAATGGGAATTTTATTTAGAGGAAGGAAGCGCTTGTTAATCAATCACTGTATTGCATTGTGTACATACAGTACATTTGATGGTTTATTTATGCGTGTGCGTTACATAAAAATTGAAGGAATGACATTAAAATGCAAAATACTGGTAATTGCTGGTGGAAACACTGTTGCTGAATCGTCAGTAGCGATGAAAATATGATAGGCAAAAGCCAAAATGTAAACGTAAGTTAACAGAAAAATAGAAAAAAAAAAAGCCTTCGGACATACAACACTATAGAGTCCTTCTTCAGGCAAGTGACGGAGGATATAAATAAACATAGTATATACAATAGTGAGAAGGCACTAACACTATTTAAGAAAGTCAGATGAGTATGTACTACTGTGTATAGGATACTTAGAGACATACTTATAAAATCAATGAGGCGAGGCTTTGGGGCATATGCCCTCCAAAAAAACTAGTACAAACCTGAGCAGTGGGATTCAATGCGACGGGCAGGGTCAATAATTTGCAATTGTAATTCGCATAAAAGTTCAACCAAAATAAAGGCCAGTATGTGTTATGAAAACTTATTAGGCCAATATCGTTTATTAAAAGTTGAAGTTACCGTATGTTTAAGCGGAGCTATATTAACGAATAAATTAATAATCATGTGGCACATGCTATCTCATTTGATGGTATTTGGTACCGAGAAAAACCGTCTGGATTGCTATGTTTTTAATTCAGTGTAACATTATAACTGATTATTTTCTCTCACGGTAATTACGTTTTAAACAATGATGATGATGATGACAAATTATACAATAATTTTGTTTCTGCTAACATAACTATAGTCTAAATAAATGAGTACGGTATTTGTTATTTTTATGCTTTATTGTCTACAATATATTTACTATTATTGGGATCACAGAGATTCTAGTACTGTAGTCTATTTTACACTATAACAATATTTAACCAGTTAACCATTAATCGAATTGAATTGAATTGAATTTATTCGATGCTCAAATATAAAATATAAAATATAGAAATACAATATAGGAATTTTTTTACAATAATCAAATACAACGAGCATCTGGAACACCCATTAGGCCGGGAATCCAGCCCATTTCCAATGGGGTCCAAATAGTTGTAAATATCAATTAACTTTTAAAATAATCAAATGTCACAACACTTTAATTCATCATCAAAACAGCTGTTTTGTTTTTCAATACGCGCGAAAGGTGCATATACGGGTCCCGTACAACAATAGATTTAGTCACCAGCTTTATGCCCTACCGGTATTGATTTTCTATTCAGTATTCGCGCCAGTTCCTCCCACCCGTACATAGGACACCCTTGTCTCTTTGTTCCTCCCTAAAAGTAAGGTAGCCTTAAAAATATTGATTATAAAGATATTCGCGCACAAGATAGGTATAGATAAATAGAGACACGATGGTGATTAAAATACTGTTATGTATACATACTGTAGGGATACATGAACAAAACCGTTCTATAGGCCTATATCATATATAAACAGTGTATATATAATATAGGCCTAAGTGGCAGAATTATCCGAGTTAGTAATAAATTAGTGTTCTTAAAGTCTACTATTGAAGCTGTTTCATTTTTATTCTGCCGGAACATACGTGGAACACAAATGTGTATGTGTGTGTGTGTATATGTGTATATATATATATATATATATGTATTTACGTGGTTTAATTACCATTGAGCACTCTGCTTTTGCAAAATGTTTAACTGTTTTATTTTTGTTCAATTTATATATTCGCAAAATAAGGTGATTCTTATACTTCTAATACTTCACTGTGATTTTTGGGGGTGCGACTGGT